GAGCCCCCAATAAAATGATTTAAAAAACAAAAACAAAAAAACTTCTGCTCTGAGACTCCCTGCCAGACCCTGCCTGCTTCACCACGTTCTTGTGCCCTCACAGGTTCAGTCTCAGCTTCCTGTATGGACCAAAGCCGAGGGGCCTCCGCCCTGTGTTCATAATCATCTCCACCAGTCTGTTCCCCAGAGGGCACCTTAAGACAGAGCACCCCCTTCCACTGCTCAGAAATTCGTAGGGCTCCCACCTCACTCAGGGGACAAGTCCCTCATCACCCCCTGATCTCATCTGCCTTCAATCACCCCTTCTTACACACTGTGTTCCACCAGATGGGGCCCCTTATATATCGGGCCTCTGACATGCAGCCGTGGACCAGCCTCAGGCCTTGCACTGGCTGTTCCCTCTACCCTCTGACTTTTCCTTCAGAGACTCTCCTAGGCCGCCCCCCGCACCTCCTTCAGGTCTTGGTCCAGGAAATCCTCTAACTTCTCTTTCGAAAAGAGCCGTTCGGCCTCCTCCCTGCCCCACCCACTTTACTTTTCGACTTCTCTTTGACAACAGTACAGAGACCATTGCTTGTACTTTGTTTTAAGGGCAGCCTGAAGGTTCAGGGCTTGGCTGCAGGCACCTGATGCAAAACAAACAAGCAAACCACCTGCCCTGGAGTTGACGCTGCCTCATAGTGAACCTCCAGGGAGGCCAGAGTAGAAGTGCTTAGGGAGTAGAAAGCCTCGTCTTCCCCCGAGGAGCAGCTGGTAGTTTGGAACTGCTGACGTTGTGGTTAGCAGCCGGACGTTGAACCATTATGTCGCCAGGGCTTGTCCCCGAGCCTGATGATGGGGGTCAAATTCTGGTTCTACTTGCTGTGAGAGCTTGGGCAAATGGCTTAACCCTGGCCCGTTTCTTCCTGTGATAATCGAAGCATTATAAAAATAACAGAAGCTCACTTTAAAGTGACGTTCCAAGGATTGACTGTGGCTGGTGGATACCTAGGACAGGCCAACTGCCCTAGACCAGGAGCTCAACTAGCCTGATTGCAGGAACGAATGATACTAGCCCGAACAACAGTTGAACCAGAACACTGCCTCCACTTTGGCTGCTCATTAACCAGTCTGCTTAACCAGTTGGGATGGGAACCCAGGTGTCTCACGACCTTACCTGACAATAGGACGCTGAGGTTCCCAGTGGGAAGCCAGACCCAGTTGAAGTTCTCAGGGGGGTCTCCGTCCCGAACCCAGTCTACTACGTGCTCCCACACGCCCCCAGCTCCCTGCTGCCAGGTCACCAGCAGCTCCTTGCTATCAGAAGCGGTGCTGACAGCCACATCCTGCGGGGCAGAGCCTGG